ACATGAGGATCCTGAAAAAATATTAAGTACACTTAAACTCACGGATATTAGAAGTGATATTAAGAACGTTTTTGATAATGTTAACAATGAATTGGACCAATTAGAACATGTAAGTTCGAAATTTTAGTTTCAAAAGCTTAATTAGTCCTTTTATTATTGGTTTATAAATCAAGGTTTTACCCTGTATTAATCAAGATTTTTTATTTTTTTTTTAACACAGGAACTCGATCAACTCATGGGCGATGCTATAAAGATTTTCTAGTATTAAATTATTTGGACAATAACAAAAATACCAAAAACACCAAAATTAATCATTAAGCTGTTATCCATTTAGTCATGTCGTCATTTTTAATAAGCAACTTGTATAATAATTATATGTACTTCATAAACTTAATATCGGGTGTATAAATATTATCAATATTAATAAACTTAAAGGATAAAAAATTGTGATTGGCTACAATAATGAGAATTTCAAAGTTCCTTATTGGTTGATCATTCTAAAAAAGATTTATGTTATTAATTCTAATAGAATTTTTGTTTGGTTTAATACAATAACTCTTTATTATACTCGCGATTCCCATTTACTAATTTATCTATCAAAATATTGAATTGAAACAATAATGCAGTGAACCATAAAGTGGAGGATACAAACCGAAAACTAGTATTCAACAGGATCATCTTTGCTATCAGCGAGTTCTTCATTGGCTGCTGGTTCTTCAGTGTTGATATTCCCTTCATTATTACTTACCGTAGTTTCCATGGCTTCGGCAGCCGATGACTCTTTAGTATGAGCATCATTTTCAGTACTCTCTTTTGGTGATTTATTTTCATCTTTTTCCTCATGTTTATCAACTTCCATCTTACTTTCATCATGTGTTTTACCAGATTTTTCATTTAGGTTACGCCCAGTAATTTCAAACTCATTCATGATACTGCTCTCTTCATTTTTCCCACTTTCATTATAAGATATTAATGACGATGATTCTAATGCCACTTGTCGTTTCTGTATTGCAATAGTTTGCACTACAGACTGAGACATTTTGGCTGGAAGATAATATAGAGATGGCTGTGTATTTGTACGAAGAAAATTGGCAAGATTCTTTTTTTGCGTCGCCCAGCAGACTCTCTTATTGTGATTAAATGACAATTAATAAGCATAATCACATTTCACGCAAAAAAAAAATTAATTTATATTTAGTCCTTACCGCCTCATTAGTTCTTTATCTATCAAAAACGTTCTTAATATCACTTCTAATATCCGTGAGTTTAAGTGTACTTAATATTTTTTCAGGATCCTCATGT